GGATGTAATTTAGTTATTAGTATATTCTAGCTGAATGGTAGTGTGTCTTGCTTTACATAATACAAATGCTGCTAAAATATATACGTAAATTCTTTTACTTTTGGTAAAATTGGTCTTGATTTTATATTTAACTGTATGGAATTTCAGAAATTATAGCTCTTCATTTTAAATAATTTTTGTTAATTACTAAATACTTCAGAGCTAATTCAAGATATTTGATTCATTGAACATTTAACTGTCTGATATGTGCACAGTATTGTGCTAGAGAAATTAGACAAGTGGAGGCCTTAAGAGGTATGCATCAGAGGTAGAACTATAGAATAACACACACACACACACACACACACACACACACACACACACACACATACTCATGTCTTTTTAACAAAAACTATTTCTCATCATAATTGCAGCTTAGCACAGTGGTTCAGGGCATGGGCTCCGGAGGCAAACGACCTGCTTTCCAGATACGCTCTGCCACTTACTGACTGTAGGACATCGGGCAAAGTATCTAACATCTCTGTACCTCATTTGTCTGGAGTATACCATGAAGATAATAGTAGAACCCACATCAAGAAGGCTCCATGATAATTATATTTGGAAAGAATAGTTTCTAGGACCCAGTGGGCACTTCATAAACATTAGCTAATATTATTTTCTTGTCTGAAAATATAATAATAGTAACTTTTATTGAGACAGTCTGTCACCCTGTCACCCACGCTGGGGTGCACTGGTGTGATCACAGCTCACTATAGCCTTGACCTCCCAAGCAATCTTCCCACCTCAGTCTCCTGGGTAGCTTGGACTATACATAAACACCACCATAGTTGAATAGTTTTTTTATTTTTTATTTTTTTATTTTTAGTAGAGATGAGGTCTCACTATGTTGCCCAGGCTGGTCTCAAACTCCTGAGCCGAAGCAATCCTCCCAACTCTCTCTCACAAAGTGCTGGGATTATAGATGTGAGCCACCAAGCCCAGCCAATAGTACCTTCTCTATAGGGTAGCTGGGAATATCAAGTGAGTTAAAGTATTTAAGCTTTTAGAGGCTGTCATTATCATTAGCATTAGAAATGTATCATCAAAATGTATATGGAAGCACAGAGGTGGGAGAGGTGGGGAAATTTAGATCTAGAGTACTGGCAAAGTTATCAGAACGGAAGTGAAATTCAAAACGGGCTGCAAAGAATGAGTAAGATTCTGATAGGCAGAGAAGACAGAGGAGAAATTTTCTGGAAAAAAGGGCTTTTCTGGAAAGTCAGAGTAATGGTCCTGAAAGATAATAATGCATTTGGACTCAGAGTGCAAGGGATGGATTTGGAGGTTTATTAGCATAGGTATAGGAGAGATAGTTGAAAATTAATCTGGGAAAGTGTGTAAACCAGTTTATAAGATAAATATGAACCACCCCATTAAACAGTGGGCAAAGGGCATGAATAGACATTTTTCAAAAGAAGACAAACATGTATCCAACAAGCATATGAAAAAAGGCTCAATATCACCGATCATTAGAGAAATACAAATCAAAGCCACAGTAAGATATCATCTCACACCAGTCAAAATGGCTATTATTAAAAAGTCAAAAAATAACAGATGCTGATAGGGTTATAGAGAAAAAGGAACATTTATACACTGTTGGTGGGAGTTCATCCATTATGGAAAACACTGTGGCAATTCCTCAAAGACCTAAAAACTGAACTACCATTCAACCTAGCAAGCCCATTACTGGGTATATACTGCAAGGAATACAAATAGTTCTACCATAAAGACACATGCAGGTATATGTTCATTGCAGCACTATTCACAATAGCAAAGACATGGAATTAAACTAAATCTCCATCAATGATTGACTGGTTAAAGAAAATGTGATACATATATACTATGGAATACTGTGCAGCCATAAAAAGGAGAGACACCATGTTCTTTGCAGGAACATGGATGGACCTGGAGGCCATTATCCTTAGTAAACTAACACAAGAAAATAAAACCAAATACCATATGTTCTTACTTATAAGTGGGAACTAAATGATGAGAATTCATGGACACATACAGGTAAATAGTATATACTGGGGCCTTTCAGAAAGAGGAGGGTGGGAGAAGGGAGAGGACCAGAACAAATAACTATTGGGTACTAGGCTTTATACCTGGATGATGAAATAATTTTACAATAAAACCCCATAACAAAGGTTTACCTATGTAACAAACCTGCACATGTACCCCTGAGCTTAAAATAAAAGTTAAATTTAAAAAGAAAAAACTGGAAAAGTGTGTTTAACCCGTTTTATTGAAGACTTACAGTACCTTGCATTAATAAATACACATGTGGTCTTCATCGTATAGACATGTTGAAGTCAGTATTTTAAGCATAAGAATCACATGAATTAATCCATTGCATATCATTTCAATAGCAACATGGAAGGTAAATCAGAGAGAAAACAGTTTGGAAGCACAAGACAGCTAGAGCAACAGCATAGGTAAAAGATTAATTTATACATAAATGGCAGAGAAATAAAAAAGAGATCAAGAGGGAACCTACAGATCAACAAATCACAATGTTAGAACCTTATTTGGAGTCTGACTAATAAAAAGTATTTTCAAAAATTATGACATTTGTAAGACTACTGTAAATATGAACCTTGATGACATATTTAATGAATTAAAGAGTTATTGCTATTTTTAAGGGTTATAAAAGTATTGCAGTGATTTTTTTAAAGTTTTTGTCTTGTACTGAAACATGTATGATTACAATTTGAGATTTGTCTCAAAACTGGTCAGGAATGTGAACAGAGCAAGATGGATTTTGGGGGGTCAGTAATGGGTACATAAGATTTATTATTCTAGAAGAAAATCTAGGCAAAACCATTCAGGACATAGGTGTAGGCAAGGACTTCATGACCAAAACACCAAAAGCATTGACAACAAAAGCCAAAATAGACAAATGGGACCTAATCAAACTCCACAGCTTCTGCACAGAAAAAGAAACAATCATTAGAGTGGATCGGCAACCAACAGATTGGGAAAAAATTTTTGCAGTTTACCCATCTGACAAAGGGCTGATATCCAAAATTTACAAAGAACTAAAGCAGATTTACAAGAAAAAAAACTAACAAGCCCATTCAAAAGTGGGCAAAGGATATGAACAGACACTTTACAAAAGAAGACATACGTGAGGCCAACAAACATATGAAAAAATGCTCATCATCACTGGTCATAAGAGAAATGCAAATCAAAACTACATTGAGATACCATCTCACGCCAGTAAGAATGGCAAACATTAAAAAATCTGGAGACAGCAGATGCTGGAGAGGATGTGGAGAAGTAGGAACACTCTTGCACTGTTGGTGGGAGTGTAAATTAGTTCAACCATTGTGGAAGACAGTGTGGCGATTCCTCAAGGACATAGAAATAGAAATTCCATTTGACCCAGCAATCCTATTACTGGGTATATATCCAAAGGATTACAAATCGTTCTACTATAAGGACACGTGTACACGAATGTTCATTGCAGCACTGTTTACAATAGCAAGGACCTGGAACCAACCCAAATGCCCATCGACGATAGACTGGATAGGGAAAATGTGGCACATATACACCATGGAATATTATGCAGCCATCAAAAACGATGAGTTTGGGTCCTTTGTGGGGACATGGATGAACCTGGAAACCATCATTCTCAGCAAACTGACAGAGGAGCAGAAGATCAAACACCGCATGTTCTCACTCATAGGCGGGTGTTGAACGATGAGAGCACATGGACACAGGGAGGGGAGCACTACACACTGGGGTCAGTTGGGGGGAAATAGGGGAGGGATGGTGGGGGGTGGGGAGCTGGGGAGGGATAGCAGGGGGAGAAATGCCAGATGCAGGTGATGGGGAGGAAGGCAGCAAATCACACTGCCACATGTGTTCCTATGCAACAATTTTGCATGTTCTTCACATGTACCCCAAAACCTAAAATGCAATAAAATAAATAAATGGGGAAAAAAAAGATTTATTATTCTTTTTTCTTCTTCTATGTCTAAATTCTCCATAATAAAAAAGGTTTAAAAAGAGAAAGTGTCATAACAATGGGAAAGGAAGAGGGAAAAGCGGGTTTCAGAGCCATGCAGAGGTAGAAATCAGAGGAGATGGCAGCCATTTGGAAGAAGAGATAGAGAGGCAGGATTCAAATTTAATCCCAGATTTCTAGCTCCCATGACCAGACAGACAATAATGGTCATGACCAAGAAAATAATAATGGAGTCTCACCTGTGAAAGTTTTTTTTTTTTTTTATCATTTACCAAATGCTCTTGGGTTTGCTTTTATTTAACCCTCAGAAGAGCCCTATGAGATAATACCCTCATTTGGCAGATAAATAAATTGAACCACATGAAGTTTAAAAGTTCAAACAGGGAAGCAGGTTTTAGAAAGCAAGATAGTGAAGGGAGGCAGGGCCATTTTCTTTGACACAAAAGTTCACTTTTTGTTCTGATTTTTAAAAGAAATTAATACATTTTATGAACCCCTAACAGTATTGTAGGCTTTTGATACTACATCTAATATATAAATTGATCCTCAATGGAGGGTGAAAGACCATGGAAATCTTCATGGGAAACTTAAAACTTCTTAGAGTCATCTCCATAAACTGTGCATACTCTGACAATAAACACTTAGGTAAACTTGAGGGTGTCTCTTTTTAAAGATATCCTTCTTTTTTTTTTTTTTTCTTTTTTTCTTTTTTTTTGCTATATTGCCCAGGCTGGTCTTGAACTCAAGACCTTGGCTTAAGCAGTTTTTCCACCTCAGCTTCCTGAGTCACTGGGATTATAGACATGAGCTTATAGACACCTAGCTTAAAGATATTCTTGACTTCTTTAAAGAGATATATGCCTCTTTGATATCAAAAATCACCTAAAAATGTATGTAAGTACAATTGTATTAAGTACAGAGTAATCACTCTTGTTTAATAGCTTACAAGTTTAATTTTTAGATGTCAAGTTGACTTTTTTTGCATTTGAATGACAACTTCTTCAGGAATCTCTTTGTATCAGTTCCTTCCAACAACCAAGAAACATACTGGACATCTTATAAGGGAAACTGAAAAGAACAAAAGGGAGGATGTCAAACTCAAGCTTGCTGTGTTTCTTCTCTGGCAAGCTAAGCTTGGAGTATTGACATTCCATCCAGAGTCTAATTGCTCCTCCTAAAATCGCATTCAGAAAATTCTTAAACACCATTCATAGCTAATTCTCTCTGAAGATTTTCCCTTACAACCATTACTGCAGAAGGAAACAAAGAAAGAATAAAAGGGAGGAATTCATATAATATTTCAGTTTGATTTCTATGTCAGTTGTTTTCTTCAAAATAATCTGGTTTGTGAAATTAAATCATTGTATCATCTAGTCAGTTACTTATCAAGGTAGCCTATAGATTTTTATCTTATTTAGATGTTCAAAATATGTTGCTGCAACTCAATGAGTACAAAGCTTCTTATTGCTGAAAAATTTTATATTAACACAGATTACCTTATCCTGAGGGAAACTATTCCTTTTCCTTGTGATATTTCTCATGACCCAAAGCCAGTGCCTGAGCCTTTGCTAACCCTCAAGCATATATACACACACATACACTTACACTTTCTCCCACAAACTTCCTTTTTCTTATATTCAAAAATAGATAGCTTCAAACATCAGCTAATTCTTGCATATTTAGCCAGGATGAGGGGATTCCATGGACTGCTTCTGGCTTTAACAGTTTAAAATCTTATGTTCTGTTCCCTTACATTAGGTAAGGTTTGCTGTGTTGCTTTTATTTCTTTTCCTTTCATTGATCAAAAGGTTTCTCTAGTTATTATTTAGTGTGTACAGGGTGAGAGCCACCCACCCCTTACTTTTACATGAGCTGCATACCATATTGTATACATGATGCCCCCAGTGCAGCGGCCATGACCCCCGAGACAACACAAGTCAAGCCATACATCTTCCTGCCTACAGTGGCAAGAATCCAGACCTTGTTATCCAGGAGCCACTGCTTGGGGAGTGAAAGAATGAGGGCAACCAGAACAGGCCTGGCTCACTCACACTAACAGTAGCTTTCCAAGAATATGCTGACATTTCCGGAAGGTCAGGATGGGCAAGATCCAAGTTGGAAAAACCATGAACGTATTTAATTCATAATTTACAGGTTTTCATATCTTTGTTTTACAACATGTGAAAAATGAGAAATAAGGGACTAGCAAGTCTAACAAACAGAATATATTAATGTACATGTGTGTGCACGTGCACGCACACACACACACACACACACACACACACACACGCAAATTCCCAAAACTATTGCCTATATTGGGAAGAGAAAATTTATAAAAGAGAGGCAGACATAAAAGAAGAAATTGTTTATTTGTTTGTTTGCCTTTATAAAACCCATTTGGGAGAAACATCCGTATATATACATCAGTTATCTGGCTTGTCCCAGTTATGCTGATGCTAGAGATGTCCTTTGTTAGAAATTAATGTGTGTAATAAAGTTTTACATTTTTCATATGTTTTGAAGTATATGAGCTATATTTCTTTTGACTGCATAATTACTTTTTGCACACAAGAAAAATGAGGTGCTTTGCCCTAAGTAAATAACCTCAAAACAAACCAAGAATAACAGTTATATTCTTTTCATCTTCTAGACTGTGTACAATACATATTTCCAGAAACATTTTAAGTTACATTATTGTGACTTAAGAAAAAAATTTACATTGAATCCGAACTAAGTTCAGACAAAAATGTGTCCCACCCTCATGTGGATATTTGTTGCATGTTTGTTGAGAGTACAGACTAATTACAGCTACTAGTTTTTTTCCTAGATTGTATTAATTTCCAACGTGTTTTCTTTTTAGACTCTGAAGGTATCTTTTACTCATGATAAACCTTTGGGGGAAATAACACAATAGATTTAAGGTATTTTAAGTCATTTCTCTTTCTGGAAAGGTGCTTTAATAACTCCTAAGTTCTTGCCGAGGAGAATGTAATCAACAAGATTGTATGCTGCACTGATTACAATCCCTTTTCTTTGGATGAACTGTATCTTTAAGGCAAAGTATTTGACTGCTCCTAAAAAATGGGACTACCTCTTTTAAGCAAAGGAAATCAGCTGTTTCCTTCACACCTCAAAGAACCAATTTGGATCTTAAAAATATTTATGTGGAGGCTGTAAAATCTCAAATCAGGGTGCGGGGAGACACTGCTGCAAATGCTTATAGACTTATTAAAAGACCCCTAACACTTTTTAGTAGCTGGCTCCATGACAATTACCAGCTGGTCTGTTTTCTTTTCCTTCTCCAGTAATACTTATTATGACCTTGATACAAAAAAAAAAAAAGAAAAGTATTAAATTTGGTGAAGAAGCTCCAAGTGTTGCCAAGCTTGAATAAACCAGGAAAATAGTGATATTTTAAGTTGCTCACGATGGACTCTACATAAATAACACATCAATATCATATATTTTCCCCACATCTTTAGTGACTATAGCTCAAATTTTGTCTAAAACTTCTCATGAAAATAAAACAATTTTTATATCTCTCTGATTCCTAGATAAAAATCTGTATATGTATGGGAATGTGTGTGTGTACGTGTGTGTAAGCACATAGAACAAAACAGTACATGCCATACATACACATTACCAATCATTACCTCTGCATATTTGAATTCTCTCTGATTTTATTTTTCTCTATATTTACCTGTGATTTGAATTTTTCTGTAATAAATGGTTACAATTTTATAATAAGAAAAGTTACTAATTTTTTGAAGATTTTTATAAATATCTAGTAAGATTTGAGAAATGAGTTAAAGGGGACTTTTACATTTCTATGAAATTTTCACTGAGAAAAGGTATCTGTTTTAAGGACAGTGAAAACAGATGGGTTGATCTCCTAAGAATAAAAAAGAAAAGATAAAAACTCAGTAGCAGCCCTTGCCAGGCAGTAATCTGCCTGAGAGTAGATGGAAAAGAGAGAACCAATATAAGCAATCAGACAGGATTGATCTGAATAAATGGAAACCATATTGAGAGAAAAGAGGCTGGTGTGAGGAATGATGGTGGGGATACTTTGTTAGAGGCTTGTTTATTCATTCAGTTATTTGTTTGTTTAAAGAACTTGCCTGTAAATATTTATGGTACGATACCAGCAGCAAACACTGAGAGAAGTGGAGAAGCTAAAAAGAGATGGTTTCAAGTTTCCAGGTACTGAGAGTTTCCAGAAGGATCATTCCCTCCACTGATAGACAAAAAGGCTTAAAATTAACCATCACTCCTAGACAGTGTATTCATTCCTATGACTGTGACTTGAATATAATAACCTCAGAGAGAGAGAGAGAGAGAGAGAGAGAGAGACAGAGAGAGAGGGAGATGGAGAGAGGGACTGACTCAGTTTATTCCCTTTGTTAGTTGGTATCTACCACTGACACAGAAATTCTCCATCCTTCTGGTGGGTTATTGATGGTCAATAGGCCATGCTTTGTTCCATGTACCTTTGCTAAGATATTTCGCTGGGAATAGGGAGCTTGGATCTTAGACTCTCCATTTTGCTACAGGGTGTCACACAACTCTCCTGTCCACATCTCTCATGCTTATTTTTAGATATTGGTATAAAAGTCCTCAGTGATTCTCATTACCACAGGAATAAATCCTAAGCTCCCCACCTAGTCTCTACCTTCACAGCCCTCACCACTCGCCAACACAAACCTCTCTGCCTGGAGACCACCTTCCTTCTGCATTCATTGTCACCTCCTCCCCAAGAGCCATAAGTACCTGACATGCATTTCTAGCTTTTCAATTTTGTTCATCTGGCCTGAGGTACTTTTTCTAGATTCATCTGCTGCCTACCTTTAAAGATTCCATGGAAGACCTACAAAATCCTACATCACACTGAACAATGCCTTCCCCAAACCTTCATAGTCTAATGCTTAAAGTGCTTAAACTCCATCTATAAACTTCACTATGTCCAGGCTTTTAGTGCAGAGTTCTTATCTCTCTGCCTAGATCTGGATCCCGTCTCTTGGGAGATAAGCATTGCCAGGACAGAAAGAGAGTAGAGTGTGGATGGTCTACAAGGACACATAATGTGAATTACTTGCGGTTTTTTCTGCTTCCCTGTCATCCTCATATCCTGCAACCATGTAAGGGAATCAGGACATTGTTCCAGAAGGTGACCTAAGTGTTCACATCTGGCTGACCTGTCCTTCCAGCCTGCAGCTCTACAAGCCTGGAGCGTTTCAAGAAAATTAAGCTCAAGCTCTCTGCAAAAATACTTTCTGTTTCCTTTTGCCTTTTCCCACCTCCTGTTCCTACCCCCATGTCTCTCTACCATATTCCAATTGAGATTTGGACCAGTTTATACAGAGGGTTTTTCTTATGTACTAAAGCAATTCAAAAGCAAATAAAATAAACACTGTCACTCTCTCTCATAATAAAGAAATTCTTCTTATTTCTTTTAGTAAGAAAAAACAAGTTTCACACTCTAGGTTTATTTAGCTGGATAGAATCCAAAGACAGAGCTCTGAGTCAGAGGACAGAGTTTTAAATGATGACTTGTCTGTTTATAGATGAGTAATTGGACTTGCTGCACTGGAGCTGTGGGATGGTGACTTGTAGGTCTGATGTTTATTTACATAATTCACTGAATGTAACCAATTTTGAAATATAGCTTATAAATATTTAGAAAATATTGTTTCTAAGTACCTGCAGCATCTTTACAGTGTATCAGGCTATTTATTTTGAAACACTATCTCTTTTTATTGAGAGGTAAGGTGGATAGCTGAGCAGAGATGCATACAGAGTAGAATATAATTAATATTGTGGGGGAGAAGGAAAACAGAATGGCTATTAGATGGGGAACAATCAGTCCTCCCTCACAGGAAAGGCTTTTTTATGCAGATGAGGATGTTGCTCCTAGATATGCATTTGAACTTTCTACGTTTGGTTGCCTTGATTATATGTTTTAGTGGAAAAGGAATCTGTACAGGATCAGGAGGTCCTTCAGACCAAAACAATGAAGGCTTGGTGATCAATTTCAAAAGTGGCCACAAACTCTCCCCTTGCCCAGATTCATGTTTTTAAAATCAGGCTTTCCTGTTCCATCATTTTAACAGTGAAATCTATTTCTCCATCCCTTGAATCTAGGCTGAGGTTATGGCATGCTCCAGCCAACAGGTTGCATCAGAAGTTCATTGCACATGTTTTTAACGTATGCCTCAAAAGGCTTTCCACTTTCTGCTCTAACTCTGAAACCCTGCGCATTTGCCATGTGGATAGCTTAGTCTGGGCTGCTGCATGATGCGAGACACGTTGTCTCAGTCACCTTCATCACCCCAGGTGACAGCCAACCAACTCCAGAAGCAGAGCCACCTAGCTGACTCAAACCCAACCACAGATGCGTGAGTGAGCCTAGCCAAGGTGAAAAGAACCACCCAGCTGAAATCCCAGCCAAAATTGCAGCCTACAGAATCGTAAGCTGAACAAATATTGTTGCTTTGAGCCACTAAGTTTTAGGCAGTCATTTCAGCAGCAAAAGCTTAACTGGCACAGGTTTACAATGGCTCTGGGCATGAAACCACCCAGAATAGCACTTATGAGTCATAACCAATGTCCATTGCCTCCACTGTGGCCATTAAGTAAATCTTGCATCTACATGAAACAAGCAAGTCATTTATTCAATCAAAGTCTATTGAGTACCTAGTTTAATTCAGGTACTGTTTGTTCAAGGCTGCTGGGAATACAATAAAAACAAGACAGATCAAGTTTCTGCCCTCCTTGAGTTTATATTCTAGTGATGAATAAAGACAATAACAAACAAGCAAGTGAATATATAATACAATGCAAGCTAGCAAAAGTGCTCTAAAGATAAAAATAAAGCTAGTAAGGTGAATAGAGAGTAATGGGGGAGGCTATTTTTGATAGTGTAGGTGTAGAAGCCTTGCCAAAAAAAAAAAAAAAGATATGAGCAGAAAATAAAGTGCAGAAATGAGCTACATAAAAATCTAAACAAGGAGTATTTACCGTTTGCTGGGGCATTTTAAATTAAAATTATACTCAAGTGACCCCCTCAGTCTAGGACTCCTTTTGTACCTCTTTAAAAACATTCCATAATCTGTCTAGTACTCATACCTACATCATAATCAAATTTCACATTTTACATTTAGTGATGAAGTCATATAAGTTGCTGAAAAAGATTGCTGGGGGGGTTAAAAATTTGTAATGTGGATTTCTTAATTGTAGGCAAAATCCTATTTTCATAATTGTACATATGTATTCCTCTCATAAAATAGAAGTTATTTCTCTAGTAGTCTTTCACTCACCTTTTAAAAATATGCGTAATTAACTCTCTTATCCTTAGCAAACTAATACAGGGACAGAAAACAAAAATACCTCATGTTGTCACTTACAAGTGGGAGTTAAATGATGAGAATTCATGGACACATAAAGGGAAAAACACACACTTAGGCCTTTTGGAGGGTGGAGGGTGGGAGGAGGGAGAGGATCAGGAAAAATAAATAATGGGGTCTTGGCTTAATACCTGGGTGATGAAATAATCTGCACAACAAACCCCATGACACAAGTTTACCTATGTAACAAACCTGTACTTGTACCCCTGAACTTAAAGTAAAAGTTTAAAAACATATAAAATAATTTTTTTAAGAAAAATTCTCTTCCTTTAACTCCTCAGAACTGCCTCTAAGGTAAGGCAAGGATTTTTGTTGTTGCTATCATTGTTTTTGTTTGTTTGCTTATTTTAGTAAAAAGTATTATGTAAGTGACATGTTGTATAATAACGTATGTTTGCATATATATGTTTTTTGCAGCATTATTTACAATAGCAACAACTTGGAATCAACCCAAATGCCCATCAATGATAGCCTAGATAAAGAAAATGTGGGACATGTACACCATGGAATACTATGCAGCCCCAAAAAAGAATGAGTTCATGTCCTTTGCAGGACATGGATGAAGCTGGAAACCATCATCCTCAGCAAACTAACACAGGAACAGAAAACCAAACACTGCATGTTCTCACTCATAAGTGAGTTGAAAAATGAGAACATATGGGCACAGGGACAGGAACATCATACACTGCAGCCTGTTGAGGGGTTGGGGATAAGGGGAGAGAGAGCATTAGGACAAATACCTAATGCATGCAGAGCTTAAAACCTAGATGATGGGTTAATAGGTGCAGCAAACCACCATGTCACATGCACACCTATGTAGCAAACTGCACATCCTGCACATGTATCCCAGAACTCAAAGTAAAATTTTTAAAAATGATTTATGTTGTCTATGGTGAGGAATAAATCAAGCAAGACACAGAGACAAAACTTTAGAGCTCTTGTTCTATGTTTGGTTATTAAACAGCAATATTGAACCATTTATTTATTTGCAGAATTCTAAAGGCATCTAGCACCAAAAGCAAGTACATTAACTTTCCCCCATTTAACAATTGATATAAATCATCCTCTACAAGGGAACTAAATCTGAATAGGAATTCACACAATGGTTTAATAGAAGGTGAGGTTTAGACATAGAATAATGTGCCTAAGACTGCTGACAGTTCACTAAAACCTGTTTTTTTTTAATTTTCTGAGCACTGAGCTAGACTCTATTTTCTAGCCTACCTTTCATTTATGTGTGGTCATGTGACTAGGTTCCAGCCAATAGAATGTGAGCAAAAGTGTGCAGGGCCATGGAAAGGTGTGGTCCATAAAATGACTATAAGCAATCATCTCTTCTCTTTCCTTTCATTTGGCAAAATATTGGTACCCAGGGTAACCCTTAAGTCTGCATTAAAAATAGTACAACCTCCGTCAGCCTGGGTCCTTGAAAAGCTGCAGGGAGCATAGCTTCTATTTGCCTATACAATTAGAAAATAGTACACTTATTCTGTAAGCTATTCTATTTTTTAGGGGGTAGAGGATGGAGGGCTATTGTTTCTGCAGTCTATCATGTCTTAATCCATGCAGTATCTACCATTCTGCCATGCCATCCACACCAGAAAAACAAATGTACAATATTCTTCAGTGGTAATATTAAGGCAGGCAGTTGAGGAATGAAAACAACTACAAAATAAATGTCAACAATGAGTTTTATCAACACATATATCTTAAAAGACCTTGTTTGTAAACAGGGATTATTTCTTCTATGTATTTTTGAATCCGGACAGGCGTAAAAGTTGTTGACCAAATAGTAGACCCTCAGAAAGTACTGAACGAATAAGTAAGTGAATGAATGAAGTGGAATCTCAGAAGACTTGGTAATGTCAGGAAACACAGAGTTTAGCAAATGTTCCACTGTGACATGACTGTGAATTTAGATATGTTTCTCTCTCTGAGTATTAGCTTCTTTCTTGTGAAATTATGTGATTGGTCTAAATTTCTCCAAGCTGGGACATTCTGAGCCCTGTTTCGGAAGGTATCTGGTCCTTCCAGTAAAGAAATGAGCAGGATACAGAAGGTCTGAGGCTTCCATACTGTGAGAATGGAGTCGTATAGGCCTAGAAAGCAATGTCTCTTAGGATTCAAGCCACAGTATAAGCTACCTCTTTGACTTCTGGGATATTCCAGCGTAAGTACCTTCAAACCATCATGAAAAGAGAGCATTAAGTCTAGAAGAGGCTCTAAAGAGTATGTGATCTGAATTCCCTCACATCACAGATGAAGAAAATTAGAGCCTCAAACATTAAGCCACACAGCCACTCCTCCTAGCCAAGGTTAGAACTTAGATTTCCTAACTTGCAATCCAGGTCCTCTGTTAGTTATACCATGTATTTGCCTATGCTTAGCCTGATCCCGGCTTAAAATTATCTATATCCAGCCCTTGTAAAAAGAATCTGCTGTATTTTGTTTGTTCATTTGATTGGTTTAAAAGATTATTTTGTGTTATCAAGACCTTTTTGTGTATTTTTTTTTTCTTAATCAGCTTCACAGTAGTCCTCTAAATCAACTCTACTTCTTTTCTCCTATGATATGCATACTAAATATGTGTCCCACAATACACTAATCGGAAAGCTTTTCTCTAACACACTTCATCCGGCTGACACTACCAACACAACTTCCAAGCTTCTTATGTTCTGGACCAAGGAAACTTCTTTTTAACAAAATAGCCATTATGGTCAAGAGAGACAGAGAAAGTATAGATGAGTAGCCAGAGCTCAGTACCTGGGTTCAAAACCTGGTGTCCTCTCTTGCTTGTTACTGATGAGGGGTCAATTTACTCGATCTATTCGAGTCCAATTTCCTCTCCTGTTAAAACAAAAGGGATTTGATTGTAGTTTTGAGGACTTCCACACATATGCATATTCCAGTCCAAGATCTGGTGAGTTATAAGTCTTCAATAATTGTTACTTCTCTTCTCCTTCCCCTTATCAGTTGCCACAATAAATCATTTAAGCTACCTGAGGCTATTACTTCATCTTTTATATGGGAATAATGATGCTTAACTTTATAACCTCACAGGACATTTTTGATAATCAAAGAGTTGATGCATGTATGGTACTTTAAAAAAAAAAAAAAGAGGATAAGCTATTAAACAAAGACAAGGCCTGAGTATTAACACCTCATAATTATTATTGTTATTATTACAAATATTCAAGGCTACACCTGGCTCACCTGTCTTTATGAAGTTTAACATTAAGTCATAAAAGTCTTATAGGACAATCCTGCCTGAGCTATTTTCCAAACCAAACTGGTCATTTAACTTGCTTGAACATTTTTTTCTTCTTCAATGATCAAAGCTTCTGTTTCCAAGAATCTTTAAGACATGTCGAAAGCGTTTTCGATTGCTGTTCCTGAATTTCATAGCCTTTGCTATAGAGGACTACGAACAGAAAAGCTATGGTTCTCCTCATTTTCCCACCCCAAAAGTAAAATCTTTTAGTCTTATGTTCAAAAATGCCAATACTTTGCCCACTCTGTACTGCCTGCCAATTCAGATGATGTTATATCATTGAGCTTATAAATCATCAACTCTTTAAGACTGTGGACATCACAGTGAATATTCTATGCACTATAAAGCTAGATGGCAGGAAACGGCCTCAGAAGTTACCCAGTGTTTGTCTTTATCACTTTCATTGCATGGGTATTTCCTGCAAAACTTCCCATTTTCCAGAATATCCCACTCAATACTTTGACCCTGCTGGCTTAAGTGATCAACCAGCTATTTCCAATATTATAAGATTTTTTTAAAGTTATCTTTGCCTGACCACTCAATAACTTCACACTCTATTCTCCTGGAACTCATTCCCTTGGACCCCACCCCACTATGTCTTTGCCCAGAAGGTGAAGCCTAAATAAGCCACAATACAACCAGCATTAATGTGTTTCCTTTCCCTGCATCCTTTTCTGTTACTTCAAATGAAAGAGCCCTGCACTGTCAATTGACACTAAGCATCTTGCATGATTACTTGTCACTAAATTATAGCCATTAGACTGTCTTTCTTAAAAAAATACTCCTTATTGCTTGAACTTGTAGAGTCAGCAGGTTTCTTTATGGTGTTGTTCATTACTGTCTTCGAAGTAATCCTACGCACTGTAATCCCTCCCCAGTCTGAGGTTTCCCTTTCTCTTCATATAGTTTGCTTTTCACTGTAGCTGCCGAGCAGCATAAATCAATACAATGCGCACCATAAACACCACAAGTGCTAACCCTGCCAATTGGCTCTCTTTAATTGGTTTCAGCTAAAAACCTGTAAACCTATTTGAAGTGAAAACGCAGACAAATCAAAGGCAAGATGAATGACCTGGAAGGCCTTGCTGAGCTAGGGGGTTGTAAGCTCCAACATGGTATTTTTCATCTCTGTCATGGGTTGTTTTTTGTTTTTTGTTTTTTTTCCATTTCACTCTAGATCCTTTTTACTTCCCAGGTATTATGCTTCAGCAGCCTCCACATTCATAATTAGGGAAAGGAAGGTGTAAATACTCCAGAGGCCAAATGGTGCATTTTAGTGATTGTGCTAATGGAGGGGGCAACCTGAACAGAATAAATATTCCCCACAATTAGTGTTATATTGACAATTTTTCATGATTATCTTCTTTACAAGTAAACTCAAGTTCTGATGAATTGCCCCTCAGATGTCACACACAAATGGCAGATTTGCTGCACATTTTTATCACCATGCTGAGCTTTAAAAACCTATGGCTTTGTCTTGTTTCAAAATGCATATACTTTTTGATTTGCATTACTGCAGGGAGAGCCTGTGTTTCATTCAGATATTGCGGTTTGTTTATCAACAGTGACAACAGTGCCTCCAGACTGCCAGGTTCCCCAAAGCCTATCATTCAGGGGAGACTAACTGAGGTGACTGGCGAGGCCATTTCACCTGAGGGGTCCTGGTCAAAGATCTCTGGGAACGGCCTCTCCACTAGACTGGTCCTGCGTTGGCCACACTCCACTTTCTTCCCTTTGCCTTAGGTGTATGCTCTAGTCAACCAAATTAGTCACTAGTTCATGATCAAAGCAACTGAGCCTGGGACCCTTTTCTAGAAGGTTCCAAATCTTGTCAAGCATGCAATGGTATTTGAAAAGGAGAGGTTGTGTTCAACCAACAATTAAAAATGTATGCTAAAATAGTCACCGAAAAATCCCCTGGGTAGAAATACACCAAGACTGACATCCGTAAAAGGGCTTGTCAAAGAGTAAGACATCTGTGTATGCACACACCCACATGCAAACATACAACACTGGAGGAAAGGCGTTTTCTTTGGATGTGGGCTCAGACGCTCAGGCTGTCTCACAGGCAGGGTTATCTCTTATGCAATTGCCATATCCAAATTAGCATTTCAATAACACAATCATTTCATCTCACTCTTGAAACCACTTTTATCTTCCATTTAATTTTAATACGAGCTACAGTCAAATTTTAGGAGAGGCTACGTGCTAAGGCACCCCCAAACATGATTCATCTTATACCCAATTGAGTGAATACAAATGCAGTCATCTGGCATGGTCATTTAGATCTTTCTTTAGTGTTATTATATGATTCTCATTAGCAGCCCCGCAAAAGCTACCAGGTCAGTTTTCAAAGATCACTGTGAGGCTGAATTTCTAGCAATACCTTCAGGATGAAGCTGGTGGTACAAGGTCTATCGTGCCCAGGAATTAGATACTAGAAGATACCTACCAGGGTATTTTTAAACCTAACCAGCCAGCAGGGCATCCCTCTGATCCTGGGCTCAGAATGAGATACACAGAACATCTCCTTGTAACCTGTGCAAGCCAAGGTAAAGTAATGTTGTAACAGTGAGTCCAGTGCTCCTGGTTTTGATTGATGTCATCAATCTTATCTCTCTCTGAGTTTTTGTATCCTGTGATTGTGCCCATCCCTGCCTCCTTAACTTGCTCCATAGGTAACACAGGAACAACTTCACTTATTGTAGGCACTGATTTCTCCCATTTTAAAATGACTCCCCAAAACTTTTTCAAGCCAATGGATCACAAAATGTCCCATAATGCTGGTGTGTTATTTGTTATAAAGTTTTTCCCAGTCTATGAAGTTGCTGCTATCTAGATGTGGAGAAGCAGTTGGGTCTATGATACCTAGCAATAAACAACTGAAGAATTAGAAAAATGCTTTCTTTTATAGCCTGTTTTGCAAATTTACCAGGAATTTAAAAAATCACTTCCTCAATCCTGTTTCTATCAGTTGAGCTATTTAAAAGTTCATTGCCAGAGGACAGCCAGGGATTTCCCACAGGTGAGCTCAGCTGGATGTTCAGAGGATGATCAATTTTGTTTAGTTTTGTTCCCAAACACACAGAAACAGTTAGGTTTCCACGCACAGAACTACCTTTCTAGCTTTCTCTTCCCCTAATATCCCTAACTCCACTAAATCCAAAAAAAAAAATATGATCATCTGGGTTTTGGCAAATGCATGCAATGTTGGCAATCCCTATCTAATTGTAGGCTCATTTGAAGGAGATGTTGAAAGAGAAAGTCTTCTGATTTACTATTCCACTTTTTCTTTTTCTTTTTTCTTTCCATGGCTTATTTCATGTTTAATCTTTAAGTGAAAATAAATCTCTACAGGAAAAGTAAAATATCCCCTTAATACAAGTGTATAGATCGCTTAACCTTTTCATAAAAATAATTTTAATTTAGCTAAATAGCTTAAACATTAATGCTCCTTGAAAGAGACTACATGCAAGGCTGCAAAAGGTGAAATGGCTGTGCCAATTTCTAGCCATAATTAAAGTTTCATTATACCAGAGTCTTCACAATGTTAAAGCAGTATAACTTATGTTGGAATGAGCTGGGGGTGTGTGCTTAGAATGCGGGGCTTCTTGAGAATGTAATAGCGCTGCTTTCTGTGCTAACAGATCCCATTCATGTTCACTCCTTTTATGTCTGCCCTGAATCAAAAAGAGTCTGTAATAATACAGTCAGAGAACAACCATTAATGATGGACAGTGATATAGTTTGGATGTGTGTCCCGCCCGCTGTTTCTCATGTTGAAATGTGATCCCCAATGTTGGAGTGGGAGCCTGGTGGGAGATGACTGGATTATTGGGGGTCGATTTCTCAGGAATGGTTTGGCACCAGCCCCCTTGGTACTGTCCTCTCAGTAGAGAGTGAGTTCTCCTGAGATCTGGTCGTTTAAAAGCGTGAAGCGCCCCCACCCCCTTCCCCACACCGCGCTGTCTAGCTCCTGCTGTGCCACGTGATGTGCCTACTTTCACTTCATTCTCTGCCATGATTATAAGCTTACTAAGGCCTCCCCAGAAGCAGATGCTGCTAGGTCTGCAGAACCGTGAGCCAATTAAACCTCTTTTCTTTATAAATTACCCAGTCTCAGGCATTCCTTTATAGCAATAAGAGAACAGGCTAGTATATACAGCTTCCAAAAAAACACTGAAAACACCTTATTTCCAAAGGTAAATGCATTCTAGCCAAGCAGTCCCTTCAGAGTTCTAGCAAGTTCTCTTTCTCCTTCTATAATCATATGATTTGTTTGGAGAAAACTCATCTATCCACCCTTCTTTCTGATTTCGCCATTCTGTTCCCATCTACTCCATAAGGTCTGGATGTTGTCAAAGAGAAAGTGCCCAACTACCTTCTCTCTCCAGTCTGGTTAGTAATTCTGATCCAAATTTTCCCACCACAGTTCAGAACAACTGGCACCATCTATGTACTTTTGGGGTTTGTGTCTTTACAATTCAAATGAATTTGGAAAGTTTTCCCACATCTCCAAACGCCACTTTGCTTGTCGTGGAGAAGCAAATGAAAGGGAAGACTTGATGTACAGTCT